CGTCTGCTGTTTACCCTTTCCACTGGTCTGCTGCTTGGCCTTCGGCCAAGTCTTGGCATACCATAATGGGCACTTTCCCATCAGCACGATTCCTTGCTATATATATATATATATATATCTGCATTTAACATAATGTAGATATTTTGTTTATCTAGATATATATATATATATATGGATGCGTATAACTGCACACATGTGTATACACAGAAGTCTCGAACCAGAGCACATGCTGACATGAGAGCATGGTGGACAAAAGATGAGGTGGGGGGCGCTTATGTAGGGGGGATAAGGGTAGTAGTAGTAGTAGTAGTAGTCGTAGTAGTCGTAGTAGTCGTAGTAGTCGTAGTAGTCGTAGTAGTCGTAGTAGTCGTGGTAGTTGTAGTAGTCGTAGTAGTTGTAGTAGTCGTAGTAGCAGCAGCAGCAGCAGCAGGAGTAGTAGTAGTAGTAGTAGTAGTAGTAGTAGTAGTGTATAATACTAGTAGTACTTGTAGTAGTTGTTGTTGTATTGCGGTAGTGAGGCTGACGGCGCAGGGTTGGTGGCGGTGGCGGCAGTGGTGAGGTCGTGGCGGCGGTGGTGTCGGCATGCTCTCAGTGATGGGAAGTATCGATGATGATGACGATGTCGACGACAGTGATATCCATGCTGTCGTATATTTCAATGTAGATGGCGATGACTTCACCCATCAAGTCTTCGACCCGGTTGAAGAAGCAAACCCCGAAGCCCCAACGGCCCCCTCAGAGCCAAGGAACGGTGCCCTCAGAACTCGTTGGCAAGGCGGCCTGCTTGTGACGCCACGGAGGCAGCCCAGAACTTTGGATTTAAGGGCCGCAAACCTTTGTGTCTTAGGCCGGCCCGCAACTAATCACCTCACCTCTGGTAAACTCCGAAACGATAGTTGAGGGTCACGGGTGGCGGACCCTAGGTTTCCAAAAGACGCGAGCCCAAACTGAAAAGTATCCCTTCGACCTGCAGATTCGGTTGGAAAGAAGCGAATTGAGCCGGTTCTTTTAGCCTTGGACTTAGAAGCCGGGTGCTTTGGGGGATTCGTGGCTGGCGCTTGGAGTTTGTATTTGAGGCTCTAGAATGGCATGCTTCAGAACGGAACCTTCGCGGCCACTTCGTAAGAACACCACCCTGAATATCAGCCCCGACCATGAACCTCTCAACCTAAATCTTTCACACCCTCAAACCCTGTCCTCCCAGAGCCCCAGCCTACATGCTGAACCCTTCACCCATCTTAGCCCTCAAGCCTAAACCCTAAACCCTGCAACCCTAAACCTGAAACTGAATCTTGAAACCAGCTCCCAGGGCATCCGCGATCCACCTGCCGAAAGCTCGCGGATCTTCGCGCGATCGCCAGGCGGCCATTGGCACGGCCTGTGCTGCCTCGGGAAAGCGGCGACAACAGCAACGGCGTGTAATACAGGGGTCTTAATAATTAGAATAGGGTTCTGGGGCCCTTTATACTAAAATTATAATAAGGAACCCCCAAAATAGCATAGGTAATTATTGAGGCCCCTGTCTTACAACTATCATGATCGTTCCCATCGAATCATCCCTTTGGTGCTGTTAGGGGTGCTGTTGTTGATTGTGGTTGCACATCTGTTGACTCGGGAAGAATAGTCTTACTGCATGTGGTGCCACTCCTATCAAACTTCGTCTTTCTACAACCTTTAGACTCAGTCACACTGTTTAGTATAATGGCGTTTACTCCGCTGCTGCCACTAACCCTGCTTTTGCTGCTGCTGCCGCCGCCGCTGCTTCTGCTGCTGCGCCTGCGCCTGCGCCTGTGCCTGCGACTGCGACTGCGACTACTGTTGCCACTCCTACTGCGACTACTGCGACTACTACTGCGACTACTACTGCTAGTGCTCCTGCTCCTGCTCCTGCTCCTGCTCCTGCTGCTGCTACTGCTATTAGCAGTGCTACGACGAGGACTGCCCCAACGACTAGTGTTGCGAATTATCAAAACTCACAGTTAAGATTGCCACAACAACAAGACGAAGAAGCAAGGAGCCCTAAACCCTAAACCCTAAACCCTAGAGCTACTACTAAGATCCCTGGCACCCGAGGGGCTGCAGTTGTGGCCCTCATGTACGCCTGGGAATCCTGGCTGGAGCCGGGCTGCTCGGGCTGAAGTTGCTTGGAAGGGCTTAGGGCTTAGGGCTTGGAGGATTTCCGGGCGAAGACGGTTTTGAGGTTTCGGAGATCTGGTACTCAAACGCCGTCAGAGTCTGGATGATTTGGGGGGTTGATAGAGGAAGGCGGTTGTCAAACTTGATGGCATCAAGCTTGTTCTCAGATATTGATAAAACCGTGAAAAACCTGCAGGAGATGAGACACTGTTGTCAGTTGGTGGGAACAAGGGTGTGGCATGTGCCGATACGGCGGCATCATGAATGACCGAAACAAGGCGAAGTAGATGGCTTTGAGTGGAAAAGCTCCACGACTCTTTGTTCATTTCCTGCAAGATGCTCTGGACTCAGAAGGACATGCAAGACTATCGAGACACAGTACCCGTTGGCGAAGAGTCTGACATTAGAGCCGCTTTTGCAACCTTCGCGTCAAGTCCAAACCTTGAACCCTAGAGCCCCCTGACTCTCTGCCTCCTGTGGCAGGACGCGCTTGAGGCGGAGGGCTTCCAGCACCAGAGAGCCAAAAGTCCAGAGGACCTGGCGAAACGAAAAGCCCCAACAAAAAAAATGAAACTCCGAAAAACTGAATTGCCAAACGTCCAGAGTTTAAGCCGGAAAATTCAAAAATCCCAACTTCCTGAATCGAGAACGTCCCAGAACACGAGGTCCTGCAGGAAACCCTAAACTCCCAAAACCCCTAAAACATCTAAAACTCGTAAAACACCTCAAACCCCTTATACCCCTACTGGTAACACACCCCCAAACCCACTCCAAAAAACCCTAAAAAGAAACTCTACCAAAAAAATAAATTAAATAAATAATAACAACCTTACAAGGCCCCAAAAGGCCCCAAATGCGCCTGATCCATCGCCCCCGCGTGGAAACCGCGGCCGTCCGAACGGCAGCCGTGGCAGAGGAGCCTCTTTGGTTTGGGGTGTTCGGAGTTTCGGTGGTTTGGGGGTCTTGGGGTGCTTTGAGGATTTTCGGGGTTTCGGTGGTTTACGGTTTAGGGTCCAGGGTTTAGGGTTTAGGGTTTTAGGGTTTAGGGTTTAGGATTTAGGGTTTTGGGGTTTAGGGTTGCCGTGGCAGAGGAGCCTCATTTTTGCAAACGGCTTCACGCCTTTGGGGCTTTAGGGTGTTAGGTTTAGAAAGTTTTGGGGCTTTAGGGCTTCAGGGATGTGTGGCTGTTCTTTGGGGCATTAGGTTTAAAAGGTGTTAGGCTTCAGGGCTTTGGGACTTTCGGGTCTTAAGTTTGGAAGGTTCTAGCGTTTAGGGCTTCAGGGTTGTTTGAGTTTAGGGTTTCAGGCCTCAAACCCTGAATCACTGCAGCCTCTACCGGAAGGGAGTCCCCATCCACTCTAGCTTCAGCGATTTCGCTCTTCAGGCGTTTCAGGCTTTGCTTAGCGGCCACCTTGGCGGTCTTCTAGGGATGCACAAATGGCATCCTCTAGAATCGACATTCAAGCGTTCTGGTCATGGGAGCCCTAAACCCTAAACCCGAAACCCTAAAACCCTAAACCCTAAAACCCTAAAACCCTAAAACCCTAAAACCCTAAAACCCTAAAACCCTAAAACCCTGAAGCCCTAAAGCCCTAAAAACCCTAAAACCCTTACCCGCTGAGAGCACCCTCTCCATGGCGAGCAGCAGAAGCAGCGCAACGACCTCCAGATGCGCGGCAGCCTCAAAGCTTCAAAAATAGCTCTCTGGGCCTGGGGCTCTTTTTTCAGCTTTAGGGTTTAAGCTTTAGGGTTTAGGGTTTAAGGTTTAGGGTTCAGGGTTTAGGGTT